TCCTCTCAACAAAATATCAACAAGTTGGTTGCTCCAGACAATTGGTCCTCAACGCCTCATCGCCAGCCATCAAGAATTCAGAGCATAAATTAATTCAGGTGTTTACTGGAACTGTATGTAACACGTTATGACATTTTCCAAGGCTTTTAAGTTTGAATAATTTTTAATTTGAAGATAAGCTTATCTTTAAAAAAAATTGCTTCATGTCTTGGTAGCAGAGTTTAAAGTAAAATCTTTACTAGCTACAGTTCTGAGAAATGGCTCCTTTAGCAAAGTTGTTGCAAATAGTTCTCTCCTAAGCTATCATTCTCTAAATGTTTGTCAGGTCACACTGTATTGTTACCTGCTATCAAAATTGCAGTACGACCAGTGACTGGCTGAAGCCTCAGTAAGTGTCAGTGGCCTCAGATGGATTTCCGGTGATGTGGGAAATGCCATGGATTGCCGCAAGAGTTGAACCATGATTTAACCCACGGCCGCCATAAACTGGAGGGAAGGCAACAGGAAACCACCCTCTATTTTTTTCTAAGAATTATCATGGCAGAACAAAGGCAACATGCTTGCCCGGTGCTTCCCTTTTTAAAGCATGGAAAACCGTGGCATCTTGAAATGTATGAAAGTTGTCTGGTAAAAAGTTCAGTATTTTGAGAGAGCAGCTTATCATGATACAGTTCTGCGGTGATCTGGAAGCCTACTTTCGCCGTCTCCGTCTCAAGGAATACTTCCAACACAACACTGAACAGTGCACTGACACACAGATACCTTCCCACCAACAGCACAAGAAGAACAACTCCACATGGACTCCTCCTGAGGGCCGAAATGACAGTCTGGACCTCTACATAGAATGCTTCCGCCGACGTGCACAGGCCGAAATTGTGGAAAAACAGCATTGCTTGCCTGGTAACCTCAGTCGTGCAGAACGCAATGCCATCCACAGCCTCCGGAACAACTCTGACATTATAATCAAAGAGGCTGACAAAGGAGGTGCTGTTGTCATCATGAACAGGCCTGACTACCTAAAGGAGGCTGCCAGACAACTCTCCAATACCAAATTCTACAGGCCACTTTCCTCAGATCCCACTAAGGAATACACTAAGAAAGAGGCTGCCAGACAACTCTCCAATACCAAATTCTACAGGCCACTTTCCTCAGATCCCACTAAGGAATATACTAAGAAACTGCACCATCTGCTCAGGACACTCCCCAAACAAACACAGGAACAAATCGACACACCTTTAGAGCCCCGACCAGGGTTGTTCTATCTATTACCCAAGATCCACAAACCTGGAAATCCCGGACGCCCCATCATCTCGGGCATTGGCACTCTTACTGAAGGACTGTCTGGCTATGTGGACTCTCTGCTCAGACCCTACGCCACCAGCACTCCCAGTTACCTTCGTGACACTACGGATTTCCTGAGAAAACTACAATGCATAGGTGATCTTCCAGAAAACACCATCCTAGCCACCATGGATGTAGAGGCTCTCTACACAAACATCCCACATGCAGATGGAGTACAAGCTGTCAGGAACAGTATTCCTGATGATGCCACAGCACAACTGGTGGCTGAACTCTGTGAATTTATCCTCACACACAACTATTTCAGATTTGGTGACAACATATACCTCCAGACCAGTGGCACTGCTATGGGCACCCGCATGGCCCCACAATACGCCAACATTTTTATGGCTGACCTGGAACAACGCTTCCTCAGCTCTCGTCCACTTACACCCCTTCTCTACCTACGCTACATCGATGACATCTTCATCATCTGGACCCATGGGAAGGAGACTCTGGAAGAATTTCACCATGATTTCAACAGCTTCCACCCCACCATCAACCTCAGCATGGACCAATCTACACGGGAGGTCCATTTCCTGGACACCACGATACAAATAAGTGACGGTCATATCAATACCACCCTATACAGAAAACCTACCGACCGCTATACTTACCTGCATGCCTCCAGTTTCCATCCCGGACACACCACACGATCCATTGTTTACAGCCAAGCACTGAGGTACAACCGCATATGCTCCAACCCCTCAGACAGAGACCTACACCTACAAGACCTTCAACAAGCATTCTGTAAACTGCGATACCCACACGAGGAAGTGAGGAGACAGATTGACAGAGCCAGACGTGTACCCAGAAGCCTCCTGCTACGGGACAAGCCCAAGAAAGAAACCAACAGAACACCACTGGCCATCACCTACAGTCCCCAGCTAAAACCTCTCCAACGCATCATTAGTGATCTTCAGCCCATCCTGGACAATGATCCCTCGCTTTCACAGGCCTTGGGAGGTAGGCCGGTCCTTGCCCACAGCCAACCCGCCAACCTGAAGCATATTCTCACCAGCAACTATACACCACACTGTAATAACTCTAACTCAGGGACCAATCTATGCAACAAATCTTGGTGCCAACAGTCTGAGTCTATATACACCAGCAACACCATCACAGGATCTAACCAGATCAGCCATACTGTCACTGGTACATTCTCCTGCACATCTACTAACGTAATATATGCCATCATGTGCCAACAATGCCACACTGCGATCTACATTGGCCAAACTGGACAGTCCCTACGTAAAAGAATCAATGGACACAAATCTGATATTAGGAATGGCAACATACAAAAACCTGTAGGGGAACACTTCAATCTTCCTGGACACACAATTGCAGATCTAAAAGTAGCCATCCTGCAGCAAAAAAACTTCAGGACCAGACTTCAAAGAGAAACTGCTGAGCTACAGTTCATCTTTAAGTTTGACACAATCAACTCTGGATTAAACAAAGACTGTGAATGGCTTGCTAACTACAAAAGCAGCTTCTATTCTCTTGGAATTCACACCTTGTTGCAAGGATTGGTTCCTGAGTTCGAGTTATTATGGTGCGGTGTGTAGTTGCTGGTGAGAATATGCTTCAGGTTGGCGGGTTGTCTGTGGGCAAGAACCGGCCTACCTCCCAAGGCCTGTGAAAGCGAGGTGCCACAGGACTCCTCGTCGCTTTTGCAGATTCAGACTAACACGGCTACCCCTCTGATACTTGACAACTTACTGATGTAAAACATGGAAAACTAATGCTGCTGACCAGAAAAATAGAAGCCTTTGAGATACGGTGCTGGTGAAGTTTTACGTCTCCTGCTCAGAAAAGGTGATGAACGCTTATGTTAGAAATAAGCGACGAGGAGTCCTGTGGCACCTTATAGACTAACTGAAGTGTAGGAGCATAAGCTTTCGTGGGCAAAGACCCACTTCGTCAGATGCATGTAGTGGAAATTTCCAGAGGCAGGAATAAATATGCAGGCCAGGATCAGGCTGGAGATGACCAGGTGGATCCAATCAAGGAGGATGAGGCCCACTTCTAGCAGCTGATCTGGAGGTGTGAATTCCGAGAGAGCAGAAGCTGCTTTTGTTAGAAATATTGTTGGAGAGAAATGGACTTTGCTCTCAGGAATCAACAGGGGTAAATGTGTATACTTCAGTCATGTCAGCCATAGAGCTGGAAAAGTTATCATGAAAGGATTAGTGGTGCTTCATTGCAGGGTGACCAGCAAGGAGAAGAATAATGTGCTCAGATTACTGGGAGACCAGCCTCTGAGTGTGTGAAGTTAGTGATGGATTGAGAAACCTTCTAGAAATTCTGCTGTCACCAGTATTCAGAAATAAATTATGAACTTCACTTACTAGTTAAAATCATGCAGGAAAAAGTACTGCTTGTATTTTAGAGCAATTTTAATTCTGCTTCATTTCACACATAATATTATCTGTTTATCCAATTGAATGTGAAATGTCACAGTAAAATATACAATAGAATAAATATTCCCTTTCTCACTTGCAGTTTTAATAAGCAGCTTCCACTTCCTTGTTCAGCAGCAGTGGGTTATCTATCTTTTAGGATTGAGAGAAATCTTTCTCTACTTCCCTGGTGTAAAAAAATGCTCCTGGAGCATGATGTACTAATGCCACTCATGATTTTGACATTCCATAGTCCCTATTTTTGAGAATTAGGCTCTAATTTTCTCTCCTTTTAGGAAATGCTATCCAGGAGCCTTAAGAGGTCTGTCTTTTCTGGACCAAATATGCCCATTTTGGATGGGCATGAACTATTTTTATGTTCTTTGGAGCCTTCTGCAGTGTTCCATTTGTTTTTCCTCGCTGTGTTTCCACACGAGGGCTAGAGGCAGTATCTTCTTCCCAGTTCACTTACTAGGAATGTTACGTGAGATCTTTCCTGCCTAAGGGATCATCCATTAAGCTGGTTATAAGGATTGCTCTTAAAGGCAAAACCCATCTGCTTTTGTGATTCTCTGCTAGATCTACAAGCATTCTAAATAATGAAGATACCCAGAGGGAAGGACGCATGTGGAGAAAATAGGTAACAACTTCCAGAGCTGGAAGAAAGGTGCCTTTTCTGAATGTCTATCAAGATGCATCTTATGTATACTGTTTCTAGAAACATTTCCAGGTCATCCTTAATGCAACATATTTGATCTTACAAGGTTCCCTTGTCAGTTTCTCATCTGCATTTACAAATCAGCATTTGTTCCTCTCTCTAATATGTACAATGTAGTTCTCTTAATACTTTCCTCTGTATTGCTTTAACAAGCAGTGTAATAAACTTACTGCCACCTTGAGCAGACAAAATAGCAGTATTAGAAAACCTATAGGTGTTGACTTACTCTCAAAGCCAAATTTCATCTTGCATGCATTTGCATTTGACTTGGATGTGGTAATCACTTCCTATCTGCTGTGTAGTGTGGCTGTGTGTACTCTTACAGGTGCTATAATCCTCCCTGGAGGTGGCTGTGTTTCAGAGGTGAGAGATGCACTTGCTATGAGTAATTTTTGTATGCTATTTGGGAGTCTTCAAGGTGAAAGGTGCTGTATGAATGGCAGAAGAGCTGTTTTCTTTTTGCAAGTGTAGCTCCTCTTAACCCATCTTTTTTCCCTTATAAAAGTAGGGTGATTGATTATTTTTCTTACCTTTCTTTATAGCAATCAGATAGGAGTTCCTGTCATTTTCTCTTCCTTTATGGGGTAGGATGTGATGTGTCTGGAGGTGGACCTAGTCAACTTTCTCTTGACCATGAAGAGATGCGCTGTGCTCCGGGGTCTTCTCTCAGGAAAGGAAAAGGCAACTCTTCCATGGTAATTAACATTTTGTTTTCTTAGCCTTAAAATAAGTTGATTGCTTTCCTCAAAATCAGTCACATTTGTGCTACTACCTTTATTATTTACAAGTATTTTAAAAATTGTGATGGGGATTGGGTGAAGGATGGGGAGGATCCACACTTTGACTTTTTGTAAGTCAAAGCTAATGCCAGAGCCCCACCAGTCCAGGCAAAGGGGACAAAGTTGATACCCGCTTCTTTATTTGTTACCTGAAAGTGAAAATAGGTGTTCTCATGGCACTTTTGTATCTGTCACTGCAAGGTATTTATGTACCAGGTATGCTAAACATTCATATGTCCCTTCATGCTTTGGCCACCATTCCAGAGGACTTGCTTCCATGCCGATGATGCTCATTAAGAAATAATGTCTTTGTAATGGGGTTGAGACTTGATGTGGCGCCTCCTGCTGGTTACACTGGGAATTAGCTCTGTCCTCAGCAGGGCACCCTCTTCTGACAGATATCTCACCCATGGTGGCTCCATGTGCTTTCTGTGCTGCTGCTCCAGACCCACACCGCTCCCAGGACGACAGTGTCTTCTTCAGAGCACTGTCTTCTGTTGCTGCCCACCACACTCATCTCTTGTCCCCATTCTAGGGATATCAGTCTGCAAGTTTGCGTCTGCCACTGTGGCCAACTGCAGCTTCTGTCTGGCCCCTTACATCAGGGACAAGCCACACTCCATAAAGGCCACTCCTCAGTGTGGCAAGGTGTAGTGCAAAGGATAAGGGGTGGGGAACCCAGACCTGCCTAATACCCTGGATCCCAACCCACAGACCCTCTGTCAGCAGTCTTGTCCTGCCTTCTCTCTCCCCCAGAGTGGACTTTAGTCTCTAAAGGGCTGTGACCTTGGTGGGGGGAGCAGAGAGGCCAGGGCTGCCTGTGTGGGGGGTAGAGAGGGAGGCAGAGCCGGGAGGCCTGGGTCTGGCTACGGTCGGGGTGGGGGGGTTGAGAGGCTGGGGCTGGCTGCAGCCAGGACTGGTGCAGCTCAGGCTGCTGGGAAAGGGGTGGGACCAAGAGGTCGGGGCTGGTGCGGCCCTGGCCCTACCTTCCCCAGCAGTGAGGGAGGAATGGAAGGGGTGGAGAGAGAGTTGCTTGTTAGGTAATATTACCAGATATACAAATATTTTTTTCCCCAAGGAAAGTACAGCAGGCTGCAGTGGAACTCCAATATGTCGCCAAGCACAAACGAAATTAGAGGTTGCTCTGTACATGTTTCTGTGGAGCCCTGACATTGAGGCTGTTCTTGTTGCGATGTCCTGTTTTCGTCATCTCTGTGAGGAAGCAGATATCAGGTGCGGAGTAGATGAAGTCTCGGTACATAATTTTTTGCCAAACTACAACACATTCATGGAGTTTGCCTCTGTCAGCAATATGATGTCAACAGGTAAGAATATATTTGCGTCTGAGTATTTATGTTCTTTAAAGTATCAAACATATTTATCTCTTGAGTATTTTGATATCAATAAGTATCAAACATATTTATGTCTCTGAGTATTTATGTTCTTTAAAGTATATTTCAGAATGTTAAAGCTAGTCCTGGTATAATTGAAATGCTGTAATACTTCTCTAGTCTGCCTCAATCTTGTGATTTCATGGAATTGGTACATAGTTTGCATTGATGATGTTTTATGTGTACAAAAACTAAAAATCTTTCTTTGATACATAAAAAATATTTGAAGATTACTTCCTCCTTGCAAAGCTTATATCAGGGCTACTCTACTTTGGAAGCCCCTAGGGCCACAATGATACTCACAGCCAGTGCTTTTTTTGTGACAGTACTGCCCGGTATGCAGTATTGGCACCTCCAGACGCAGTACCAGCACCTCCAGTCAGAGCTCAACAACTTTTCCCTTGGAGTACCGGCACCTTTTTGTTTTTTTTAAATATATACAAAAAAAGCACTGCTCACAGCACATGGCGAGGACCGCAATTTAAGTGTGGTTGCATATACATGCAAATAGCTTCTTTCACACTGACAGGCATGAATACAAAGCACTTCCCACAATGCCCCAGTGCTCCCGGCACCACCTCCCTGGGGGCTAGAAACACCAACACCCTGTACCCGTCTGTTCCAGCCAGCCCGTCAGCTTGCGACTTTCAATGCTCACCACACCTGGAGGATGCCTCGCCATGTTCAAAGGATGCCACCCACAAGCTGCATGTTGAGTCCCATGTAAACCCAAGACCACGCCTCGAGCCGAAAACAAACGGCCGCGGGCTGCATGTTGAGTAGCCCTGGCTTATATAATAGTAAAATCAAGTATCGTAGAGGGATATAGGCTGAATTGAACCCCTAGACCAGGTAGCTCAATGAAGAGGATCATTTCCTCAAAACATTTATTTATGTACAAGTATACTTGTGATTAAGTCTTGTACACACGTCTTTGGCTATTTTTGAATGTTCTTTTTTTTATTTACGTAAGCTTTCATCTATATTCTTTGCTTAGGGAGAGCAGCTCTTCAAAAAAGAGTCATGGCATTATTAAGGCGCATTGAGCACCCAACTGCAGGCAACACTGAGGTAAGTTTTTCTCTTAATGAAAACATTATTTACTGGTAGCTGAAAATGCCTTGTGTGGAAAGCAATGATTAATGTTGTAGGAAGTTATCAGAGGTACATATCTGAAATGCTTGATGTATTGTGTTTTAGGCATGGGAGGATACACATGCAAAGTGGGAACAAGCTACAAAATTGATCCTCAACTATCCAAAGACCAAAATGGAAGATGGGCAGGTATTATGTAGCTTCCTATCTATTCAGTAATCAGAAGTGCAGACAGAAGTCTTGTATTTTCCAAGTAAGCCATTTAAGTTTGCCAATCAGTCCCTCATATGATTTAAATTTGAAATCATTCAGCAGCTAATGAGGTGTTTCCTGTGTACTCTGCAGTAATGCATTGAGCTTGGTATTACCTCTGGAGGATATTAGTGTTTAACCTTTTCTCCCCACTTCACTGACTAGGAATGTAAAAATGTGTTTAAGTAATCGTGTAATGGCTAAAAATGTGATAGAGGCAGTAGTGTGGGGGGTACAGGCAGCTCCCTGCATGCACTGGTTCCCACCTGCCTTCCCCTCCCCCCCCCGCTGTCTGATACAGGGGCAGCAGCGTGGGAGGGGGCAGGACAGGAGGCACTTCAGGAGCCGGTATGCGTGGGCAGATTCCTGTGTATATCCGCTCCCACCTGCTCACCCTCCCTCCCTGCCTTGCTGCTGCCTTTGATAGGGAGGGGGCAAGCACCTCTATGCGTGAACCATCTCTCTTCCTCCTCACGCCGCTGTCTCTGATAGAGAACAGGGGTGGGGTGGAGCTACATGTAACCTTGCCTGTTAACTGATGAGCCCAGGCTTACACTTTCACATCCCTACTGCATACACAATATAATTGGAAACAGTAATCATGATCAGAATCAGTGTTTCTCAAGCTTTTTGGAAGTCAAAAATGTTCAAGTCTCCCTTACATTTTTAACTCTTTTCACAGTCACTGTATCATTGGTAGCTAATATAAGCCAGCATAGTCTGTTTTGTTTTCAAGTGGTTGATGGAGAATGTTTGACCTTGAATGATAAAGGTATGTGAAAGAGGAGGGAGTGATATATTCTTCCTCTTAAATTGTAATAAAATTGTCAGTGTCTCAGTCCTCTTCCAACAGCCTTTTGTGACCCTACTGAGAGTCATGCACCACTGGTTGAGAAACACTGAACTAAATTAAAAAATGGAGAGTTCCTTAAAACCTTCCTAAAATCCCAACTCCACAAATTTGGTTAGGAAAGTTGCTCCATGGCACAAGCCCTTCAGACGCATTTGTTTACACTCTCCTACCTACTGGCCCTTGATATAAAGATTAACCAACTCTTCTGAGACTTGAGTAGTTTGTTTTTCATTGTCATTGTTGTAAACTTATTGGATTCCATTACTGAATTGTACTTAAACTATTTCTTATCTGTATCTCATAAATGAATGTCATTTGAGAGAGATCTCATTTTGAACAACTCTTTTTCCAGGTTACTGATAGTCTTCACAAGACAATTGTCAGGCGACGAATGTCTCATGTTAGTGGGGGAGGCTCCATAGACTTGTCTGACACCGATTCTCTGCAGGAATGGATCAACATGACAGGGTTCTTGTGTGCTCTTGGAGGAGTATGTCTCCAGCATCGTAGCAATGCCGGATTAGCAACTTACAGCCCACCTATGGGCCCAGTCAATGAGCGTAAGGGCTCCATGATATCTATGGTATCCACCGAGGGAAATGCAGAGACTCCTGTTAGCAAATTCGTAGATAGATTATTAACTCTAATGGTCTGTAACCATGAGAAGGTGGGACTTCAGATACGGACTAATATTAAAGATCTGGTGGGTCTGGAATTGAGTCCAGCACTTTATCCAATGCTGTTTAACAAACTGAAGAATACCATCAGCAAATTTTTTGACTCTCAAGGACAGGTAAAATATTTGGAAATCTACTATATATTTTGAAGAGTGAGTGAGTTTGTGGATTTGTTTATGTAACATAAAGCCATACTTCGCGATTACCTGCAGATACCTAATTTTGCATGAACAGTCCTGCCACTTAAATTAACTGAACGCACTACTATTTATACTGAAAAATGCTGGGTGAAAGGTTTAAATCAGTGTTTCTCAAATAGCAGACCGTGGCCAATGGAGCCAGTAAGTAAATAAACTGGAGCAGCCCGGTAGTAACTTTCTCAGAGTGGGTCCACAGACCACTTTGAGAAACACTGGTTTAAATAATTTTTTGTTTGTCATTGGAAAAAAGTAATGATTATTATGATTTAGAGTTCATAAAAAATATTGAACAAAATTAAAATCAAGTTGCCTATTCAACTATTATTTTACTGAAAAGAAAATATTTACTGTTACAGATCACAAAATAATTCAAAGTAGTTACAGAAAGAGTAATGGAAGCTTTACGAGTTTCTAATTCAAACTTACTATGTATGGTCATTATTCAATAAAATGAATGTTTGAAGTTGAAATCCTACACATTTAAAACTGTTCTTTTACTTCCCTTTTGAAAGCACATTAATAAAAAATTCTATGACATATATTTAATTTTTGAACTTTCCTATAAGTATAATCTTCGCAAAATGACTCTGCCTAGTCAATGATGAGTCTCACCTACTAATATTTTCATATTTTTATCATATTGAAAATATCGGCTATCTTACTCGTTCACATAGATAAATTGATACCTATATATGTATGGTTGTGTGTTTTTATGCAAAGAGCCAGAGAATTATTTATTACATGATGGAAGGTATCATGATGATATGTGTGAATAGACCGCACAATTCTTAATTTGCATTTTAAGATTCCAGACTTTATTAACCTAGCATGCTTAAATTCCTTATAAGTGTCTTTATTTTAGCCATCATCCTACTTAATAGGATTTATGTGATGGGAAAACGTTGTCTTTTACTTAAACATTTTGAGACCTGAACTCTGTTAAGTGTTGGAATTCTTTTGACTAGGTGAATGAGAACAATACCTGTGCATTAGACTTCTGCCCATTTTTAGTCACATAGGTATTTATTAATACTATGAATGTTTCATTATTTCTTTTTGTACATCACATCTAAAAAATTGACTAGTCTTTTTCCTGTAGGTTTTGTTAACTGACACCAACACACAATTTGTAGAGCAGACTATTGCTATAATGAAAAACCTGCTTGATAATCATACTGAAGGAAGCTCGGAACATCTGGGGCAAGCTAGTATAGAGACCATGATGCTGAATCTAGTTAGGTAAGATATCGATTGTTTCTACTCTGCAGAATATCATTTTTAGATTATCAAGCAGTCTCTCAACTTCCCCTTCCTCCCCCTCGTGCTATATTTGGGTTCAATAGCAGGGATGTAGAATGCTGATTAATATTCTGATTCTCAGCCCCCAGGCTTGCAGAAGTTAAAGCTATAGGGTAGCCACTCTGATTTTTGCCATGCTGTAAGGCCCACCAGTGGATTATCAAAGCTAGTGGAGCTAAGAGCTCCGCCATTCCCCATCTCCTCCCTTTCACTCCAGATCCCAGGAACATTCCTGACTCATCTCCTTCCCCTATATCTGTGGGGGTAAGCGGATGACAGTTTAGGGTGCTACAGGGCCATCTCAGTCAGCTTCCAAGATCCGCAATGACTGGTTGTACAAGTATAATTCTAGATGTAAAAAAGGGAAAATTGTCTCTCTGTCTCTGTCTCTGTCTCGCAGGAGCTTGTTATCTAGCGAGATAACTAGGTTGTGGCATAGACAAAAGTAGAAGATATTCCTGAAACGTCATCTTTCCTCCCCCAAATGCTTTGATATTTATTTATTTATTTTTATTTTTTCTGACCCTCACAGATACGTACGTGTGCTTGGAAATTTGGTGCACGCAATTCAAATAAAAACTAAACTCTGTCAACTAGTGGAGGTAATGATGGAGAGGCGAGATGACCTTTCGTTTTGCCAAGAGATGAAATTTAGGTGAGTACTAAATTAAATAATAATTCATAATTATAATAATAGACACTATGGGTGTGTCTAGACTACCTAGTTTTGTCGACAAAAGTGGACTTTTGTCAACAAAACTATACCAGCGTCTACACTACCGCTGAGTTCTGTCGACATAACGTCGACAGAACTCAGCAGTTTTGTCGACGCTGGTATACCTCATTTTACGAGGCATAACACCTTCTGTCGACAGAACTCTGTCGACAGAAGGTGTTATTGCCTGTAACATTGCGTCCAGACTATGGAGTTCTGTCGACAAAGCAGCTTGCTTTGTCGACAGAACTCAATGTGTCTGGACGCTCTTTGTCGACGGAAGTTTTGTCGACAGTATCTGTCGACAAAACTTCCGTCGTCAAAACGTGGTAGTCTAGACGTACCCTATTTGGAGTAGTATTTTTCTTGTGGAGTATAGTGGACAGGTGGGAGTCGAAGAGACCCTTCCTTACTAACTTACATAACAATACTTTCTTGTTTCTTTGTATTTAATGTAGGCCTCAATCTTGTATCTGTATCTGCTACCCTTGACCTCTACACCTGTGCAGAGTCCTCCTAAAGTCTGATAGTCGGGACTCTATGTGGGTGCAGGGTTCTCTTGGAAGTCACTGCAGAATTAGAGCTTTAACAGTAATCTACAGTTACTAAACCATGTTAATCTTTTAAGGTTTGCAGCTTAAATGTGCCTTAAATATAAAGTTTAATTAAAAACACCATCTCAAGCATCATCAACTTCGAATATTGGATACTCAGTTTTCTGTGCTGTAATACTTACAGGAACAAAATGGTTGAATATTTGACAGACTGGGTTATGGGGACATCCAACCAAGCAACAGATGAAGATGTAAAATGCCTCACGAGGTAAGAGCGATTGATACAATACGCTTTCTGAGGCTAGCTCTACACTGCAGGAAAGGGTGTGAGTCCCAGCTTACATAGACATTCTCAGGCTAGGTTTTGTCTAAGCTAGCATGCTACAAATCAGTAGTACAACTGCAGCAGTGATGCATACAAGCAGCCCCAAATGCATACCCTTAGGGTTTGGGCAGGCTTGTGCTTGGGCCAGCTAGCATGGTGGTGCTGCTACTGTTGACCACACGACCATGGCTGCCCTGCAGTTGTCAGCATGATCATTCAGATGGGAGCTAGGATGAGCATGTCTGCTCAAGCTAGTAATCACAACCCTAGCACTGCTAAAGGTGTCTCAGGGTTTGTGTATGTGTCCATTTAGTTTGTGGCAAGCTGAGGTGTGAATCTGCCACTCACTTGCCTTTTGTGGACTGACTCTGTGGATCTTGCTGACACATGAACAATGAGTTAATGGGCTTTCTGCTATTCCTCTTTCAAGTAGGAGTAGATGAGAGCAGATGAACAAACTTTTATTGCAAATCAGCAGGGTCCATGCACATGGTCTGCAGCAGACTAATGCAGAGTAGAGTCATAATGGGGCTAGATTTAGTCAGTTTAGGTGCCTAAGAAAATTCCACATCTGTATATCCCATAGCCTAGTGATTAAGGCACTCACTGAAGAGACTGGTGATCCCAGTTCAGATCCATTCTACTCATTGGGTGGATTTGAAGTGGGCATTTCCAGGGAGAAACCCTAGCCTTTGCATTAAAAGTTACGATGGAAATCCTTGTCCTTCACTCCTGGCTACTCCCGTAGTGTTTTGAGAGAGCTCACCTACAGGAGCCCAATCTGGTAGGTGTACTCTGTGTTTGTGCGATGTGAGTTACAGCCTAAAGAAAAATGCAGAGCTCTGAACTTCAGCTTTTGGTAAAAAAGAGGAAATTATCTTAGCATTTTGTTTAAACTGTGTAACTGTCATTTTTAAGATTAAACATACAATTTTTTAAAGAAATTGTTGAAGTTTTTGAAAAAATCAGCTTACCTGTAACATGAAAGTCATCTGGACTTGCCATGATCTGTGAATAAAGCTAATGTCATTCTGAGGCCTACAGAAAGAGTGATCATGCTTTAGTTTATATGATTCATAAGTATCTGATAAATTAGATCTACATTTTTAGGAAACATAGTAAGGCTTTTAAACTCTGATTATAACCCTGAATTTGTTTTTACCAAGTCCAGGACCCTAATTCTACTCCTGTTTCATGTTTGTAGAAATACGAACAGGACAGATCCTAAGTTTGTTTTGGATATGTAGCCAAAATGAGCTACATGAAGTTAAGAGGAAATATATGTGTTGCCACTTGCTGTATTTTTGGTTACTGTTTAAAAGTTTAATTATATTATAACTCACTGTCCAAAGTTGATGGACTGCTCTGTGCTGTTCAATAATAGCAGATTTTTTTAAACATATGGAGCTTTAAAAAAATAATTTAGTAAGGAGACACTTGAATTCTAGTTAGGTTTATAAATTAAAATGACTCCAGTACTCTTTAAGGAAAAGGACAGATGGGCCCTGCATAATTTAACTGTTTAATTTTTTTATTCAGAGATCTAGACCAAGCAAGTATGGAAGCAGTGGTCTCTCTTCTTGCCGGGCTTCCACTACAGCCTGAAGAAGGAGATGGTGTTGAACTGATGGAAGCCAAATCCCAATTATTTCTGAAGTAAATGGTCATTTTTAAATGTTTTCAATTATACTATTATTAAAGGCAGATACATTATTCTGTGTTACCAAGAAATTTTCTTTTTAATCTTGCAAAGGTTAATTTTTAAACAGTGAGTTGCCTCAGTATGCCCTCTGAATTTGTAAACCTTCACCTTTTAGGTTTAAGCAAACACTTGAATTTGTAAAAGCAAAAAAAAGTGGAAAGTTGTCTTTAAGTGTAACTCAGAATTACTTTTAGATTTTCATTTTATGGATGGAAGAATATGCAATATTTTAGAAAGACAATCCTATGAAATTGAATTGTCTAGTTTGAGGAATTCTCTAGGCAGGCTTTGTAATACTGCCTTTCCACCTCTCCCATCCTTTAAAAGCTGTAGTATGTAATAAACACAGTAAAATGAAAAAAAAAGAGAAAAATACCCAGAACAAGTCCAACTTAAATTTGTCAGAAATGTACAACAGAGTCATTCTATTTAATATCCTAGACTAATCTGCTAGAAGTGTCTTGATTCTGTAAAATTTATCTCGCTGACCCAGATCTCCAAATGCTATTTTTGTTTTAGATATTTCACTCTATTTATGAACCTTCTAAATGACTGTAGTGAAGTTGAAGACGAAAGTGCACAAACAGGTGGCAGGAAGCGTGGAATGTCTCGAAGGCTGGCATCACTGCGACACTGCACTGTTCTTGCTATGTCAAATTTACTCAATGCAAATGTGGACAGTGGCCTTATGCACTCAATAGGTAAACTAGTTAGAAATAGCTATGTATGATTTACATACGAAGGCTTGAGCATTTAATTAAGAAGTATATGTCTTAAGTTTTTGTTGCGTTATTCTCTTGTTAGGCTTAGGTTATCACAAAGATCTCCAGACAAGAGCTACATTCATGGAAGTCCTCACCAAAATTCTACAGCAGGGTACAGAGTTTGATACACTAGCAGAAACTGTACTGGCAGATCGATTTGAGAGATTGGTGGAACTGGTCACTATGATGGGTGACCAAGGAGAGCTGCCAATTGCTATGGCGTTAGCCAATGTAGTGCCTTGTTCGCAGTGGGTAAGTTAATTCATGCATCCATTTATGTGATGTTTGTTAACCCTGAGTGAATTTTGTTTTGTGAGGTGTAACTTGCCTGTTTCAGAAAGTCATACGTAAGACTTGTAATAATTAAACTTACTGCTCTAATGTAATGATGATGTTGCAAGGAAAAAAAAATCTACTAAGACCTGAAGAGCTGAGGTTGTCCTATTATGTCTGTGTTGTAATTCATGGCCTTTTTCTCAGAGGGTTCTAAAACTGGAATTGGGTTTGCTTTGCTGAGAGCTTTAGTTCAACTAAAGCATTGTAATATATTTTAAAAGAATACTTGAAAAAGTAATTAGCCTATAATTGTAAAATGGTTCCTTCTTGGCCTCTAATGGGAATCAGAGTGGGGACTGTTGTGTATTTGAACTGTAATACTAGAGTAGGCCTGTGTTTTCATAACCTAATGTGCTTTTTCCCTGTTCTTAGTAGTACTGTATTATATAGTGGGTGAATCTTCCATCTTGGTTCATCATAGACTCACAAATGAGCTGGGTTTTTGGAACATATTAAAAACCTACCATTATAGCATGAGATGATGTGGTACTTGAGGAGAGATTTAGAAATAAAATTAGAATTGGGGAATGGGATGAGTACACATTAGGGTTTATTTGCAAGATTTAACAGGGGAGTTCATGGCTAGACCATGTTTCAGCCTATGTTGTACAAATTTTAATGTGCTCAAATATTTCAAAACAGTACAAACTCCTACATGGAAGAAAAGATTTAACGCAAGCAAAAATACTTGAGATGCAAATGATCATTGTCGTCTTTTTTCTAGTGAAGGATACATTAACATTAGAAATGTTTTAAAGGAAGTGGTTTCACAATCCAGTCTCTTTACTGCTCTGACACACTAACCTCTTTATTCTGCTCCTTAAGGATGAGTTAGCTCGTGTCCTGGTCACCCTCTTTGACTCCAGGCACTTGCTCTATCAGCTGCTTTGGAACATGTTTTCTAAGGAAGTGGAACTGGCAGATTCCATGCAGACTCTTTTCAGGGGAAATAGCTTGGCCAGTAAAATAATGACTTTCTGTTTTAAGGTAAGTTTTTGTCATTTTCAGTTCCTTTTATAAGACTCTTTTGAAGAATGAAAGACTAACAGGAAAAAGTATTAACTTAGAAATGTGAGACTGCAGTTGGATTACATTACCAAAATCTGAGCAATTGAAATAGATAATTAAAAATAATATGGTGCTCTCCGGTCACCAGAATTAAGTTAACAATAACCTGGTGGTTGTATTTGTCTACATAATCCCAAACAGCTTTTGAAAGTTCATCAAGATTCCATGCAGTTATTTTTATAAAGATACTATAGGTTGAACCTCTCTAGTCCGGCAACATCCAGCCCCCAGGCTGCCCCTGGCCTGCAGCACTCTCCTCCATCCCTTGCAGCCTGCAGGCTATCTGCAGGGGGGAGGAAAAATGGTTCTGGGGGCTGCCTTTGCAGCCACCCATGATCTACTGGCTGCCCCCTGGTGAGGAAGGGCTCCAAGGGGCTGTCCCCAGTGCCCCCTTTGCCTGCCCCCATGACCTACAGCTTCAGAGGGTAGCCGAGTTAAGCTATCTGTGGGAGGGAAGGGCAGATTTCTGGGGACTGGCCTCAGCCTCTAGCAGTCTCCTCCTCTTCCCCCCTCTCCCCGCCCAGTGGTCTGCAGCCTGTGGGGAGGAGGTTCCAGGGGCTGGCTCTGGCCTGCAGCAACCTCCCAATGGCCTGCAGACTCCCCGCTGGAGTAGGGAGGGCAGAGACTGGGGGGGGGTGGGGGGGTGGGTTTGGGTTGATCCTGCATGGGATTGGACTCGATGCCTCCTGAGGTCTCTTCTGACCCTATGAATCTTGTGTTCCAGAAGTGATCTATGAAGTACAAAGATTAACTTTGAATTATTCTGTCATACCCATATCTGATGGATTTAAAAACTTTTTATTAAAACTAAGACAAAGCTAGACTTTTTTTTTTTTTAAACTGGTTGCTGTTTTATCAGCAGTCTGGTTTAAAAAGGTATGGAACTGTCTGTTTCCTTAACTTGTTCAAGAAACATTTCTTCCCTCTGTGCATTCAATTTATAAGAAGAATCCTTTGGTACCCAAGTTGCATAGATATTTCTTCTATTACAGCAGTGATGGCAAACTTGGTATTTTTTTGGTACATAGCAAATAACTTTTAAGTTAGGAGGATGTGGTCTTAAAAAAATGTCTAGCACTTATACATAAGAAAAGGAATGGTATTTCTTAGATACTGATTTGAAAGCTTGTTAATTTGCTTTACTTCTAAAGTTTAATGTCGCACATAATATTTAATGTATTTGCATATACGCATAAACTTTTCCAGCAGAAAGGTGATAATTCTAAAGTATTTTTCATATTTCTGAAGCATATGTTTGCTTGTGTGTTTAGGTTTCAAGCTATGAGAATTATAATCTCAGAGAATATCATATATATATATATATATATATTTACCCCAATGTCTGTGACTCCGTAACGCTGTAGCGTTAGGTGTTGCCTCTGGGAGGCACTGTTGCCTCCTGCTGTGGCGCTCGGCGAAGGGAGGCAGGGCGGTGATGTGCTGTGTGACAGAGGCTCCATGCCCCGCCCCCTGGCTGTGAACAGACCCTGGCAGGAGGGGAGGGAGAGGTGGAGGACAACTGGGAGGCTGCAGGATCAATGCTGGGGTGAAGGGAAACGGTGCAGGGTGGCAGCTGGAGCTCATAGGCAGCCACTTAGCTGACCTGCCACGTGGGAGCAAGTGGCACAAACAGCCATTTGGGCTCCACGCTCCTCATGCAGGAGGAGGAGAAGAGAAAGAGAGAGTGAGAGGCAGGAGGAGGGGAAGAGAAAAAGAGATGGAGAGGCAGGAGAGCTGAAAGCGAGAGAGGGGGAGGCAGGAGGAGGAGGGGAGAGAGTGAGACACGTAGCGAGAGACCGGAGGCTCAGGAGAGAAGACAGAGATAGAAAGGGAATAGGACATGGAGGAGAGACCTGAAAATCCCGTTTTATGATGGGCTAATTGGCTGGTATTTTAAGATTCGTAGTTTGTACGAACTTAATTAGATGCTGGAATAAAATAGTGCGTTAAGCTTGACATACACAATATTGGAATATACTCTTGTGCTTTGTGTTATGCTGGACTAGCCACATACTCTCTCTATTCTGCATAGGTATATGGTGCTACATATCTACAGAAGCTCTTGGAACCTTTATTAAGGACTGTGATCACATCCTCTGAATGGCAGCATGTCAGCTTTGAGGTGGATCCTACAAGGTTTGAAATATAGAAAAAGTTCACACATGATTTATAAACTTTTTCTCATCCAGACAGGATTCATTTTCATTTAATGCAAAAAATTTTCCTCTTTTTCTGCGGTTTTGTTTGCCTCCCTCCTTCAGTTATATAGACACACATGCACAAACTGACTTCTGTATAGCCAGGGAGAACTAGGCTGGGATCTCCCAGACTCCAGTTCTGCCACATATTTGCTTCGGCCATGGAGAGAAAAGGGAGAAGATCTGTTCTCCTTCTCCACCACTGTTCCATATTCGCCACTGAATATAGACTAGGAAGAATCAGGCCTGAAATATGACTCTTGCCTGTACCATTGCAGATGGCCTGCTCTAACCCAGTGTTTCCCAGCTTTTTTTAACTGGGGACCGGCAAACCCATTCACAAACTGTTGTAACTGCTCATTTGCATATTTGCATATTAATTGTGCAAATAATGAATATGTGAATATGCAAATATAATGTTACTGGTTTGCCAAAACCCTGGCCCTAGAGCTCCCCCAGTGCCAGCCTTAACCCCTGTAGTCCTCCCTCCCGCCACTGCACCCAACCTCCCCAGAGTTCCCCAGTGCTGCCATCCTCCCCCCCGCCCTCCCCCCCAACCTCTTAGAGGTCCCTAGCATTAGTCCTGGTCCTGAAGCCCCCTCACCTAGTCCTGCACTGTCTCCGAGCTGCCAGTGGGGTAGTGCTGCCCGGGTTACAGCTGCTCTAAGGCTGCTGAGCTGAGCTCCGTGCAGCCCTCCCGCCACGCAGCAAAAGCGCTCTTCTGTGGCTGGGAAGAGACCCCGCTCCTGTCCAGCGCTGGTTGGCTGAGAGGCGGGGCAGGACATGCCTCTTCCAGCAGCTGCAATGGCAGTGGTGAACCTCATCCCGGCCCCCAGAGCCGTGGCGGCCCAACAGAAAGCTCAGCCCAGCACCTAACCCATTGAACCTGTTGCCCAGTTCACATGGAGTCTTTTACTTTTTATGTGGCCTACTTTGTCTTCATTACTCCCAGGTCTTCTCAGGGTTTATACTAAATGGCTAGATTATTTTATAGTTGTTTTTTTCTAACTCTCTTCTGTAAGTCTCCCTATTTGTTTTATATTACACTAGCTAAAATAGCTTTATCAGGGACAGGCACATGTGGCTGGAACCCTCAGCACGGAGCAGCCCTCACCCACTCAAAGCAACTGGCGACTCTATGTGCCTCTACACCGGCCAATGAGAACTGAGAGATTATTCTGGGAGTGGAGACAGCAAAACCTCCACTCCCTCCTTAGCATGCAGTGCAGAGATCCATGTGGAGTGAACAGCCAGCTGTTTTGAGCGGCCTGGGGCTGCAGTAGGCAGGGTGTACCTGAGGGCCCTGCTAGACTGCTGGCCAAACCCTCTGCACCCCCTCTCTTGCCCACAACTCCTTCCCAGACCCTGCACCCCTTCCTACACTCCTACCAAGGCCAGAATCCCCTCCTGGACCCTGCACCACAATGCCCTGGCCCAGGTCACAGCCCTTTCCTTCACCCGAAATCCCTCTCAGATCTCATACCCTCTCCTGCATCCCAGTCCCCTACCCTAAGCTCCCTTCTGCACCTAACCTCTATCTGACACCCCCTCCATAGAAAAGTATAGCTCTTGACCACTTACCAAAAGCTTGGAGTGGGTTCCCCTATCAAAAATTGTCTGCCTTTTATATTCATATCTTTGACTTTGGGAAGTGATAAATGACCACATTTATAAATACCCCATTCTGCCTGCATGAAATAACATATCTGTAGCTATCTCAATAACTGCTTGAACTTTCAATAAAACCATGATCCTAACAAAACTTGTTACATATGCAAATCTTAAAGTGCAAACAATAACATTTTGAAAGATTTTCATACATGTGGGTGTGTTGCAGATTGGAGCATGCAGAAAGTCTTGAAGACAACCAGCGGAGTCTCCTGCAGATGACTGAGAAATTCTTCCATGCAATCATTAATTCCTCTGCTGAATTTCCACCCCAGCTTCGCAGTGTGTGCCATTGTCTGTATCAGGTATGCCTGCCATTGAGGTTTAAATCTTTAGAGCCTAAATTTCATTGTAGCGGTCAGAACCTCTGGTTTAAAACATTATTGAATGCCATTGGCCAATAAAAAGGTGGTACAAGCATTTCTTTCTTAAAACTGTTTTTAGGGGTTTGTGTAGTTTAATTCTCCAAACTGAATCTCAGCATATATATCCTTAATTTAGGGAATGAAAAGTGTTTGTGAGCGGCCTGGCAGACCTGTGGTAATGCAACTCTGAATTCACAGCTGAGCACCCTGACCTAATTAGGGTGGGGATTATCATGTCTTGCTCTAATTCCTCCGCAAGGAGAGTAACTCCATAGCATTGCTTAATTGAGGGGTCAGCAACCTTTCGGGGTGGAGTGCCGAGATTTGATTTATTCGCCTCTATGTATGGTTCCAAGTGCCGATGATGCTTTTTGAAGTCAATAGTCCTACTTACAGCAGCTTCATTAATAAATAAATTAAGATGCAGATCTTACCTTTTAGTGCAGGTGTTGGCAACCTTTCAGAAATAGCGTACCAAGATTTAACTTAGTCATGGATCTGTGTTCTGGGGGAAGGAAAGGGGAGAGTCAAGGGCAAGCTGGGTATGATGACTTTATTTTCTAAACCAGCTTCAGCTAGGGAGAATGGTTTAATTTAAATTATTAAACAGATTAAGCATTTTAACTTTCTCATGTTAGTTTATCAAACTTCATTTAAAATAAAGTAAAATATTATGTCCAACACAAAAGGTTTAAATGTTTTCTTTATTTATGGCAGGGGGAGGGGGAACCTTTTTGGGGTCAGGGGGCACTGACCCACAGAAAAATCAGTTGGGGACCACACAAGTGAGAAGCAAAAAAAAAAAACTCCTCCAAAACCTCCCAGTCTCCAAGTTGCAGGGTCTGGGTCAGGGGTAGAGTGCAGAAGCAGGACTGGGAGTAGGGTGTCTGGCTAGGTAAAAGAAGCAGGAGCAAGGGAGGGTGTAGTGTGGGGCCAGAAAAGAGGGTGCAGGCACAGATGAGGGTGTCAGAGCGAGCCGGGGGTGCCGGGTCTTCTAGGGGGAGGCAAGTGAGGGGACTGGAGTGTGTGTAGGAGGGTTTGGGCATGAGGGGGGACCTTACCTGGCTTCGTGCCCCCTTGCAGCAATGGCCGCAGTTACTCTGTCCCGGCCGCCCCGGAGGTAGGCCCCACTGCCAGGGCCCACGTGGTCCAGGGCCACCCCAGAGGCCCGTTGCCACTGTGGTCTGAGGCTGGTCCCGGAGGCCAGAGGTGCCGCTGCCACAGCCACGCAGCCAGACCCAAGGCACCATGGCCACAGGACACTTTGGAAGCGCCACGGCCTGGGGCTGGTACTGGAGGTGTCACTGCTGTGGCTAAACAGCTTGGAGCGGGCACCACGGCCCTAGAGACACCGTGGCCAGAGGCTGCCCAGGAGGCACTGTAGTCACAAAGCCCTGGGCCAATCCGAAGGCACCGCAGCCCGAGG